CGTGATCAAGACTTGGTGCTTCAGTACGAGTATACAAAGCCATGACTCGAATTGCTAAAGTCAACCATCTTGCGTTGTTTAGTGGACCAATTTTTCCTTTTAAAAAATATGTTATTGACGAATCCTTTAGAATTTCCAAGACAATATTCAAATAATAGTCTTTGATCGTAGCTTAAATCATTTATCACTTCAATGGGAATATTTAGTATCTCTACTGGAGTATCAATTTTGGTAAACTTCACTTGCGGGTTAAGATGGAAATCTATAGAAACTTGCTTTCCAATAGGTGCTGAAAATTTATTTGAATACTTTGAACTGCCATCAACTATTTTGAATACTTTTTGAAATGTAAGTTCATTGTGATGCAAAGTACAACCGATAAGGTGTATTTTTCTTTCTAATTTCTTTTCTAAACATGCAACAATTCCAGTTTTGAAACCTGTACTGACATTTGTATTATCAAGAAGAAGAGCTTGTACTGAACTTAAATTATCATACTCTTTCAGAACATTATATACAATTTCACTTTGAAGAAAACCAGTTGCACCATATGATGGAAAATTTTTATGAGGGAGATATGAACCACTTTTAAAACTATTTTCATTAGTATAAATTAAATGATGTTCTTTTTCAGTAACTCTCGACAAGCGAGTTTTTCCATTTTCAATGACATTCTTAAACTGAAGAACATTTTTATCATCTTTACCATCAACACCCAAACACACCAAGTTACTTAAATTATTATCATGTTGATTACCATATCTTGACATTACTTTCTTCTTCTCTCTATAAAACAACTCAAAGTATTATATTTAGCTAAATATCAAATTAAATGTTTTGTAAATAAGCATTTATATAAATTATTAAATAATGAGATATATTTATATTTGCCTAACTTATATAATGAAATAGTATTTACCTCTCAATTTTGCTTCGATCTACAACTTGATTCAAATCTCCATATTTAATGATTCCAAAATCTAGAAGTAGAGCATTTGCAAGTACAACTGCATCACGAGATGAGACATCATACCTACAAATAAGAAACTATAAAATAAATAAACAAATCTGAAAAAGCAAAGTATATTACCTATATGTTATACTTTAACATTCTATATTCACCCTCCCATATTAAAAAAAAGCTTACTGGGGATGAAAAATGTTGTTTGTTTGTTTTTTCACACTTTTAACATAGTATATATTAAAAATTCTTATCTAAACTCCATATGTATAAAAATTTTATATACCTGACAGCCTCCATTGCAAATCTATTAAGTTTCATTAAATTATATTGAGAACTTTTTACTGGATTGTATTCTTCCTCAGAATCATTTACCTGTAAAAGTACTTAGTATTCAAAATATGAAATAAAAGTCATATATCTCAAGCAGCATACTTTGTAGGACCAACATTTAAAAAACGTTGAAATCGTTGAAACAAAGCTATTTTAGCATTGCCGGGCAACGGTTGCCTCAACAAAGTGTGCTGTTTGTGATATATATATATGTATAAATATATATATATATATATATATATATATATATATATATATATATATATATATATATATATATATGTATATATATATATATATATATATGATATATATATATATATATATATATATATATATATATATATATATATATATATATATATATATATATATATATATATATATACAGGGGTGGGACCGCAAAATGTGAACACTTTTCTGATTGTAATATTTAATTTTCTGTTAAATATGAACTATTTTAAATAAGAATGTCCAATGGTTGGACATTCTTATTTAAAATAGTTCATATTTAACAACTCTTTAGACACTTTCTGATGAGTGAGAGAGTACAACTACATCTAACGAGAAAATAGTTATAATAAAACAAAAACGTTCACATTTTGCGGTCCCACCCCTGTATATGTATATAAATATATATATATATATATATATATATATATATATATATATATATATATATATATAATATATATATATATATAAATACATATATATATATATATATATATATATATACATATATATATATATATATATATATATATATATATATATATATATATATATATATATATATATATATATATATATATATATATATATATATATATAATAGTACAAACACATCTAATTTTTTTTTTATATTCTATTAGTATAGTCAGGAAGCTTTCTGATGAACTTACTGATGGTGACACAAGTTATTTAAGGAAAAAAATTAGATGAGTGTTTTTACAAATTTACTATTGCTCTGTTCTTTAAGAACATTGAGCAATTTTTAGGACCAATCTTGTTTCTCTGGTCACGAATATATGCCCTGTCTTCAAAAGGGACCTTAAATACAATTATTGAAAATAATCAAGTACTTCAGTTTAATTGAATTGAAATAATTATATATAATTAATAAATAGTTGCAGATTAAAACATAAAATATTTTATTGTATACAATAATATATAATAAATGTAATCAAATACCTTTCTAGTTTTAAGACACAAGATGTGCTCTACTTGGCAATTGATGATGCTACACTTAACATCTCTGTCATTACATAAAACAGTTGCTAATTCACAAGTACATGATGAAATATCAAAGAGTTTATCTAAAATCAAATCTTGATACTCCTTACGTTTAGATTTACAACGTCCTCAGTTTATAGATTTTACTCTTTCAAAAAGATTTCGTAATTTTCTTAAGATTGAATTTCTCTGAAGAAGAGGAAGACGAGGGTTTACTTTATTCCACAAAGTACTCAGATAATTTTCAACCTCTGTTTTGAAATGTTTTGGTTATTGTTTTCAGTGAAATTCTGTTTTGAAATGTTTTGGTTATTGTTTTCAGTGAAATAAAAAAACTGAATTACTTGACGAAATGTTGAAAGATAAGCTGAAGGCATTTCTGATGGGAGACCTCCGTATTTCAGACTATTTTCTAAACGAGTTTTCCTTGATTTGCTTTTAGGCATTTTTTCTATAAATTATTTTCTATTTATAAATTTTTATCTAAAAGCAACAAAACAACGCGCAATGCGCATGCCTACTTTTAAAAAATTGGGGGCTTTCCACAAAAATAGATTATTTCTTTATAAATGTACATTTTTGTAAATCAGCCATTTTCCAGGCATTATTAGCAAATACATGTTATATATAATATTATTATTTTTTGATAATCTATTTACTCCAGGGTTACTATAGTTCTGATTCCAAAATCACTCCACCCATTTGTATATATATATGTTTTCATGGTATTTTTTATAAATTAGGTATTTTTTACTTAATCAGCCATTGCTTTGTCAGATGCTGAGGGAATCCAATTAACAGAATTGGACAATTTTGTTTTAGACATTGTTGATAGAAAACCAATAAATGTGTCAGGAATTAATGTTCCCGATATTAATATCTCGTTTGGTTCAAGTGATAAGGTAATTCCACTCACTTCCAGTCAACCTTCAACATCAAGTAAAGAAATTAGGTCAATTGTCTCCGAACAGTCCTTAACTGCAGCTTCTTTTATTTCATCTATACCTGGTATACTTTAACTATTTGAGTCAAGTTGTTTAATAAGATAATGACTTAATGTATAATAAAAGTTTTAATATTTTACTTGTTGTTGATAAAATGTATTAAATAAATTCTAACTTTAAATTAATTATTTGCATTAGGTCCAAGACTTGATAAAACAGACACCTCTCATTTAGACACTTATGCTTTTATTGAATCAATACTTCAGGTTATATACTTTTTTGATTTGGAAGTTTTAATATTTAACTAAATAGATTATTAGAATTTTACAGTAATTAAATTAAATTTTATTTGTAACTAGATTTTTATTTAACTGATAAATACTAAAATTAAATTTTACAGATTCACCTAAAAAAAAAATATCAACTGGAGCATTAAAAAGTCTGAAAAGAAAACAATCTCGAAAAGTCTTTTGGTTGATGGAAATTTTAAAAAATTGAAAGTAAGTGTTTTGGGCTTGGAAAAAGAAATATTACAAAAAGAGCAATCTTTTAGACTTCAGCTTTTGAAATTTGATGTTGCTCTCAGGAAACAGCAATTAAAGGGAAGAAAATAAATTACGAATGAAAATAAATTTTTGATTAATTTTTTTATTTTCACATTAAAAAAAAAATACTGTAACTATAATTAACTTTCATTTTGTTTAAGTATTTAATTGTAACCAGTGAACTCTTTGTGTTGCATTTTCTTATAGAAACAAGACAATAACTAGAATCTTAATTTAATAGTATTTCCTTTATTATTTATCCCCGTGGCCTGCACGGGCACAACAGGGGCCACTAACCCTAAAAGGGGTTATACAATTTAAAATGAATTTTCAAAATTTAAAGTTATTGTTAGCAATTGGCAGAAGTGCTAACGTGCATAAGTGCAAATCTTCACAAATGCAAAGCTATTATAATAAAACTGGCATAAGTGCGAATTGGCATATCTGTGACAGTTTTAACTCTTTTATAATAAATGAATAAAATAAAGAAAATGTATCAGCTTTCCTTCCTGAAACCCAACAGTAAATCTATGTATGTACATTTTGCTGCAAGTGTCTCAAGTATCAGCCATTGTATGTACTTTATTTTGTCATAAAATTTAGAATACTCTCGCCTAAGTAAGTTATTGCAACTGCTTTGCACATGTAAATACTCGCACTTATGTAGATTCGCATTTTTGAAGTTCGCGCCTGTTCAGCCTAATTAAAAAAAATTGGTATGCTCAAAAAACATTCTAAAGTTCTATAAAAATTTCTTGCGTTTAATAAGAAATTATTTATTTTTGTTTAATTATTTATCATTAATATTTTCCTTTTTTTTAGTATTCTTTTTTAGTATTAATGTTCCTAATGTTTTAAACACAAATCCTTGATCCATGTCTAAAATATAGTTATAGACCTCATGCCCGAGAACAAAGAAGAATATATATTATATAGAGATAACGGTAATAACTTTATTAAAAGTTTCTTTATTCGTTTATTTTATGTAAAGTTATTAAGAAGTTGATTTCGTCTATTAAAGGCTCCATCATTTTGATCGGCTTGAGTTAGATTTTCAGAAACTTGTTCTTCGTCGCCCTTTTCAAAATCATTACCGTTATCTCCATATCGAAGACATAGATTATGGATAACAAATCCACACATAATGAGCTTAGAGGCATCTTCAACCTTATGCAAGCGAATTCCTGTTTTCAAAGCATAGAACCTGTTTTTGACAATATCAAAACAACGCTCAATTATGCTTCTGGTTTTCCGATGCGCAATGTTGAAACGTTTTTGTGCACCGTCTGGATCACCGGGAAAAGGTGGAATTAACCATTCTCGACATGGGTAAGCTGAGTCCGCCAAAATCACAGCACCATTAAAAGGAAGCTCTCCATTTTCGAATTTGTTCCAAAGATTAGAATTTCTTACAATATCATAACAATATCATTTGGAATTAAAACTTAAATTATATTAAGATAAGCCTTGTGCACCATTAGTTGCAAAAATAATTTTTTAGTAGACTTACATGTGCATCATGCCATCTTCCTAAACTGTTCGTCGAAGCATTGTATATGTATGTGTCGGGTCCACATACTGCCATTGCATTTATGCTATGAACATGGTGGCGATTAATTAAAGAATCTTCGTTATCGTTAGGAGGGTTAGATAGGATTATATAAAAGCCATCTAGAACACCACATACGCAAGAAAAACCTCCAATTTCCATAAACTTTTGTGGAAGAGCAGCGCAATCATTGGGCCATTTTATTATCTCTTGTCGAATCTAATTATATAAGAAAACAGCTGCTAAAATTCTTTACTAAGCATTATTAATTAACTTACAAATTTAATGAACCAGAAATTTTGTATTAAAACGTTAAACTGTAAAGAGTTTAATTAATATAATATGCTAACGTTAAAAATGGCTTCTTTGACCCTGTGAATAATACGATAAATTGTGTTGGTAGAAATTCCATGGCAGTCTCTGAGAACATGAAAAAAAACAATTGTGCTAAAAAATGAAGAAATATCATTATTTGATGACGTACTGAAATGCTTTAATTTCGCCTTGAATAATGCTGCAAATCATTTTTGAGTTTTATTACTAAAAAATCTAACACCGGTCTTGGGACTCGATACTGCTCTCGAAAAACATTGTCGGAAATATCTTCGTTTAAAGAAGCGACCGAAAACTAAAATATTAAATTAAAAAAAAATTACGAATAAGCAAAACAATATTTTAAAGAAAAGTTCACGCGTTTTAAGCTTTCTAGATGTGCTTAGTTGTTCGATCGAAAAACTTATACCTCTCTTCCGATCAACTAGACATGAAAGTTATTAAGTTTTAAATAACAATGTTTTATACGCAAACCTCTCGAGGCAATCGGTGGTGAAGCTCATTTTCAGCAACTTTTGAATCTATGTCTTCATCAGAAAAAATTAAATCCATTAAAAATTGTAAGTTTAGATACAGTTTTTTAAAACCAAATACTAAAATGTTGAAAACTGTTTTAGCATAGAATTGATAGAATTCGCATAACAATTAATAAAAAAATTGTAGTTGTGAGTGACGTATTATTTCCTTATGTTTTATAGCAATGGTCAAAAAAAAAATCAAACAGCGAGAAAAATTTCGTGCTTACGCATTTTGTTTCATAAAATAATTTACTTAAAAAATTTCGTTCCCAATAAAATCTTCGAATTGTTTATAGCATTGGCCCCTGGTTAAAATAAAAGTAAAACTTAAAGTCTTTGAGGATGTAGTTCCTGTCGCTACTCTTCATACTTTGGTACACGCGGTTCAATGTGGAATGTAAAAGAACAGCGAACAATTTTTATAAAGACACTTGAAGAAAACATTCCTAAATAATACTCTTTTTATCTCTTTTTCCTAGTTTGTGTTTTTTACTTTGTTTATTTTACAGAGGGTGATTAATAAAATATTAATAATAATAAATAACAAAAATTAATGCCGAAATTAAATTTGAAAAAAAAATTAATTTGATAATTATCAAATTAAAAATAATAAAAATAAGTATAATTTTTTAAACTATTCGTTATTCTTCGACAAATTTTAATTTGCTGATTTAATTTTAATAAATCATTTTATTACTTATTCCCGAAAAAAGAGTTAAATTTACTTTCGCTCTGAACTTTTGAATGAGGAATAGAATTTGGTTGTCAGACGAACTTATAACTTTATTAAAAATAATATTTTAAATCCCCTAAATAATTGGAGATGTTGCTAAAAATCTATATGGTCATAGTTTTTGAACACTAAGAGATTATTGCATGATATTAGAGACTTGTTAATGAACTTAAATTTAGTTTAAAATGCTTTAAAAATGTATATTTAAATGTTAAAAACTCACCGCTCTCACACTAATGGCATAAAAGGAAAGTTAACATTTTAAAGGTATATTTTTAACAGACTACGATTATCACAATACTTTTGAAAAGCTTTCCATAAACATGAATATATAAATGTTTGGAGTTGGCTCGATGTCATCATATAAAGTTAAATTTTTGAAAATTTAAAGTAAAAAAGTAACAAAAAATTGACTTAAAAAAAAGAACTTGAGGTTATTTCATCTCAATGATAAAATAACATCAAGATACTTTTCTTCACAATTGACCATATAAATTTAAATTTGAAAGTGTGCTTTTTTGAACCATCCTACTAAATTCGCTATATTAAATAAATTGAAATAAGCGGCTGTGGTTATGAGATGTTATAATTTTTTTGTAAGCTAATTACTTTTACTTTTATAACTTCAATTTTTTTTTTAATTTAATCTTGATGTTATTTAAATCAGTTATTTAAATTTTTTTTTTTCAAAAACTGTCTAGTTTATTGTTCTTGATATAAAAATGGCTCTGCCTTTTGCAATTTTATTATAGGCGTTCCCAGTAAGCACATGAACGTTTTTAAAACGTTTTTTTTTACTAATAAAACGTTTTTTAAACGTTCGAAATGGCGTTTAAAAAACGTTCTAAAAAAGTTGTTTAAAAAACGTTCTAAAAAAAGACGTTTTTTTTTCAGAAAATATTCCCAAGCTTACAGGGACTATTATTAAATTGTTTAAAAGAACCTGCTAGTTAAAAAAACAAGAAAAATAAAAAATTTATTTAAAAGTTATTTTTAAATATATTTTCTAAAACAATTTACAAACAAATTAATATCGTAACAATGATATCTGTTGGATTAAAGGTACTTTAACACAAGTAAAAGTTGCCAGCTTTAACGAATCAGTAATTATTGCATCGACAATCGATTCTGTTTATGATTAGTTAGCAGTCGATGCACAAACTAAAAGAACAAACTATATTTACAACAGACAATCTGAACAGCAATAATAGTATTATAGTATAATAATAATATAATAGTATAATAATAATAATTAGTTTTTAAGTTACAAATATATGTTTTAAAAATATATATATTTCATAATACGCACAAATGAAAAGTATATTAAATATATATCACAAGTTTTTGACAGTTCTTACCGCCAATATTTTGAACTCTTTGTTTCTAATAGTAAGAAATTATGGAAAAACTGACAATTCCTAATTAAGTATTAAAAATTATATAATTTAAAGAAAATTTTGAAAAAAGAAAAAAATTTTCAAATCAGTATTTAGCAATTTACAACTATTTTATATTAGGTTTTTTGGATCCTTGGGTTTTTATCTAATCTAGGAGACGCAACACACAATATTAAAAGTCTAAACAAAGTTACAATAATTAAGTTTTACATAGTATTAACAAAACTACGTATATAAATAAATTTAAAATACATAAATTTAATAATTTAACAACTTTACTGGTCTAACCCTAAATCAGAGAAAAACTAATAGACAGTAAAATACATGATTGTGGCAATGCTAATTTTTGGTATAGCCACAATATGTATTTTACTATGTATTACAGTTTTTCTCAGATTTAGGGTTAGAGAAGAAAGATTGTTCCTTAGATTTATAATTTTGATAATATTGAAATAATGGATTTCACGCAGGTGATTATTTAAAGTTAAAATTGGAACCTCATCTTTTCAATGAAATCTTTTAATATTGACAGTAGTGTTAGCATTTTACAACAAACATTACATTGTTATTTTTAAGTAAAAACTTACTTGCTTGAGATAATGGAAATCTATCATATTTATCCTTTTTATTTTAAGATTATGAAGATTGATGTGTCTTAAAATGAATCTCTTGGTCATCACAATCAATATTATCTTTATTTATTATTTTTTGACCTAAAGAACACAAGCATAGAGAATATTTGAATTTCATCTAAAAACTTGTTTTCTCATGTAGAAATTTTACAATTAAAAATCTTTTACAAATTACTTTACAGATTATTATTTTATAAGTAAAATAGGGTATATAATATTGTATATAATATTATAGGTTTCATACTGCCAAATATTTGGTAATAACACCAGAATATTATTATAGATTAAAAATCTTTGAATGACATTTTGAACTAAATCACTTACTTTCTTGAAACAAATCATCATATTTTTTCCTTTCAGCTTTTTTAACTATAGTAATTCCTTAAATAAAAACCACTGATATTATTATATTTTATTTTTTCTTCTTTAGAGTTAAAGAAGAAAAACTCTGAAAATGTTGTTCCCTTTTCTCAAATTTAAATGATTTTTTTTGCATTAAAAGCAGTTGATAATCAAGTAGAATTAAAAACTTAATCTATTTTTTTTAGCAATCAAGTTTACTCAACAATTAAGCTATTTAATCTAAATAACCACACCATAAAAACTTTATTATATTAATCATATCTACTTGACTCAAGTAGAAATACAAACACAACCTAGTTTCAACGAAGGCAAACTAAAAATACTGCAATATATTTTTAAATTTAATTCTCCAAGAAGACAATACAAACACTTGGTTGATTTAAAGATATGTTAATTTATATTTTTTTTACTTAAATAAATTACTTCGCTTAATCGAAGGTCATGCTATTATTTGCGTAAACATGCTCTTTTAAATATTGTCGTGTACATTTAAAAAACGTCAGGGTTAACCCTAATTCTGAAATTAATTTACCTAACCCCACCCCCCTCCCCACAAAGGAATACCAATCACGACTCAAAAAGGAATTGAAATTACACCGCTCCCTCTACGCGAAAAGTTTAATAACAAATTTGTTTAAGTTAAAATTATGAAACGATGAAGAATATTTATTGACCAAAGGTCTCTCTTTTGTCCTAACTTTCAGCCCGCATAATATGGAGGACTACATTGGAGAAGTAGAAAATTTAAACGTTGACTCAAGTTACAGTGGTACTTTAGAAATAAGAAGACCTGGCCAAACAAATACCCCTCACTAAAATCTACCTTCACATGGAACCCCCCTACACCACATAACAAAGCCATTGTTACATACTTTAATAAAATTGATCACGATACAAAAAAGATCATGGCAAACAACCATCGTATCCGTGAACGCAACAATCTAACAACCTCGGAAAGACAGGCGCTGAAGAGATTGCGAAACGACATAAACATCACAATCAAAATGAAAGTCAAAGGAGGTGGTATATGTATACTTGATACAGAGGAATACGACAATAAAATACTGGAACTGCTAGGGGATAACACCACCTACAGGTAGATAGTATCCAACCTACTTTCCCAGATGATTCACACAGTCAATACAGTGGTTGACCTTCTTATTTCCAAATCAGTAAATAATACCCAAACCGGCAACAAAATCCGACCACAACCACCGCACCGTTTACCCAAATTCTATGGTTCCCCAAAACCCACAAGACAGGCACACCACTAGGACTCATAGTATCTGCATGCGGAGGGCCAATGGACCAACTCTCTGCCTTGATTACTCAAATCTTACAACTTATAGCAGAATCCATCCCGGCCTATTTTAAAGACACCACCCAACTCCTAAAACAATTACAGGGTTACAGAGCAACCACAAACTCCTTCTGGTTAGTAACGTCGGATGTTAGTTCCCTATACACGATGATACCACACCATGATGGCATGGAAGCAGTAGTTGAACTTCTGGATGGAATACCAACTGCTGCGAAACCTTCCCACTGCTTCCCAACGACATACATCAAGATGTTGATCGAAACCATCCTATCCAACAGTTTCTTCGAATGGAATAATAGATACTTCCATCAAATCAGTGGTATCTCAATGGGGACTAGGTTTGCCCCATTATTCGCTAATATTTTCATGAAAAAAGATGATATAATCTTTATTAATAATTATAAAGAAAAGATACCCTTCTACAAACGATTTATTGATGATCTCTTCATTATCTTTGAGGGAACCAATCCTTAAGTCTTAGAAGCACTCTACTTCCCGGACAACATACACCCTAACATCAAGTTCACGTCTCAATACTCTAACCAAACCATATACTTCATGAACATTATTTTATTCAAAGGGGGGGAT